GGGGAACTGCAAGGTCCACTTACACTCCTTCCCTTGCCCTCCTGTCCCCTCCCTCTTTCCATTTCAGTCCTGCTCTCCTCCCCCTCCTTCCTTATGTTCCCCCCACCCCCCTGTTCTCCTTCCACCCCTTCAGCTCCTACTCCCAGCTGTCAGGCAAGGGCTGTGAAATCCAGGGGGACAACTGGTCCATTTGGGAACACTGCCTCTTGTGATGCTGGAGGGCTGCAACGTGGTTGTTTCATCTCTGTGGAACTGCCAGTTCAAGTAATTTGTTCAGGATAGCAGGACTCAGATAATCCTTGCCTAAAGTAGCATAATTTCAAGACATCTACATTATCCATTTATTAATGAACCTGAAGTTGTGATCACTCACATTTTCAGTGCCCTTCAAGTGGCTTAATTCAAATGCGTAACTTTACCCCAAGAATGATATCTCAAGTTCCTCTGCAATAAGTGTTTGCCAGTGTTCATTTCAGTCTTCAGGCATCTCTAAAGTGAGCGACAGCAGAAAGTATCAATTAAGAAGAGCCGTTTTCTGTTCTCTTTAGCTGGGACAAACTGGAGTGCAAAAAGCAGCAACATCTGATAAAAAATTCTACTGTTTAATCTTTGAGAACTCCCTGGTGAGTTTCTACTTCTTCCATGTACTGAAGGTCTCAATAGCAAGGCCCCTGAAATTCAGAACTAAATCTATGCTACAATGGCTGTATCTACATGTGTATATTAATGCAATGCAATAAACTGCAGTAGAGTTTATTGTTCCTGGGTACTGCATTTACACGTGCCCAGGACCGCAGCACGTTGAGCCAGGCCAAAGCAGCCCTGGCTGGTAGGAGGCATGGGAGGGGGTCAGTCTGCCAGCACAGGGCTCCTCTGATCTGGTTCAATATGTTGCAGAGGGGCTGGCAGAGGCACGAGGGTGCTACAGTGTGGGGCTGGCTGGCAGGCAGCCCTTGCACTGAAGCACCCTCATGCCCCAGCCAGCTGAGGCAACATTACACATGTGCTGCTGTGCACAAAAACTTCTGCAGCAGGGTAGTACTTATATTTACAATTACTACCCTGCTGAGGAATGTATTAGTTTCCTGGGGCCTAACAGGGCTGTACATGTAAGTGCCAAGATGTTTACTGTGAAACTAATTAGTCTACTCCATATTAAATGTCTCATGTAGACGCATCCAATATGCTGCAGTAGGAAAGGTAACTGGATGCTTGAGAGAAGTAACAAATATGACTAAACCATTATACTGACTAGGGCCTTGAGGTGGTGAATTAGCTAACATTTATAAACAAGGGGATGAATTGGAAAGATCTTGAGATAGCAGTCCCTCTCAGGAAAAGGTTTTCCTACAAATTCTCCCCTATCATTTATTCGTGCTCCAGGTTATATCCTTCCCTTCCATACACTAGAAGAGCAACTTCTTCCTCATTTTTCCCCCACTAGGTGGCTCTAGCCTCCCCAGTTGTTTCTTCCTTAGTTCTTCAAGTATCTATAGTCAACAGGCAGGAATATGGCCCACAAGCAGTTTTGCTTACTATTACAGAACTTACAAGAGAAGGAAACAGACTGTACACTTGTGCAGTAGTAGATTCAGGAACAGGGCAAGGCACTTGTGCAGTAGCAGATTCAGGAATAGGGCAAGGTGGGGTCCAGCCCCTTGACTTAGGCTGTGCCATGTACGCACAAAGGCTGATCTCACTGCTTGCTCAGGGTGGGCTCCTGGTGGAGCTAATTCCACTTGAGCACTAGGCTCCAAAACAAATCTGCTGACTAGGGCAGGGTCTGGTCAGACCCCCTGCTTTTGTGGCTCCAGAGCCCTAGGAGTGAGTGTTGCTGCTGTTTGCCCTTTCCTTTCCCCAGTGAATTTAGTGGCAGGGGGACAGGAGGGAATGAGCAGCTGTGGCCACATTCATCTCTTGCGCTCCAGAGCTATACAAAAACAGGGGCTCCAAACAGATCCTGCAGGGAGAACCTCTGGATCTGCTCCTGCACCTGTGTCCTTAAAGGAGAGGAAGGAAACTAGGTGAAACTGTAGGTTGTCAGGAAGTGACCAAGCTCACATTACAAGCTTCTCCTTCTGCTGGCATAAATGATCAAAGTGATCCACCAAGTTCGGGGCAGAAATGCAATATTCATATCACCCACTGTGAACAAGTCACTTGTTCTTACTAGTAAAGAGCAAATGAAGGCAGAAGGGTTAAGCTTCAGCAGGACAAATTAAAAATGTATATTTATAAAAGTTAATTGTAAGAGGAATTAAACAATACAATGAACTGCCAAGGGAGGCCAGCAGTGGAGGCAGTCAAAGCTTAGCCCGACATCCATCTGCTTAGGGTGGCTTATGAATATTTAAATTAATGCTGCCATGATGCAGGTGAGGTGACCTACAGGGGCTTCCTACTTCATTTCCTGTGTTTCCTTAGAGGAAAAAGAAAAGCTGCTTTTCTGAGCATTTGTTATTAGTGGGAACACAAAACACACTTCAACTAAATGAAGTAACATATTTATCACTAGCAAAACTAGTCTTGGTCTCTTTCTTTCCAAATAGATGAATTAATGATGGGAACATTGATATAATTAACAATTCAAACAAGTCAAATGAAACATGATAAAAAGATATAGCAATACTAAATACAGACAGGATTACTTCTCAATGACAAGAACTCCTTGAGGAGCAGAATTCCAACATTTAGGGGAAAAAGTTATAATAAACGCATGCCAATGGGCAATAGAATGGCTTAAGTAATAAAGTATCTTAGAGAGACCTTTGATATATTGTCATCCTTACTGTATGACTAATACTAAAAGGTATACAGTATATAGAAAAAAACATATTTAAAGCCAACATAATGATATTGAAAACAGCAATGGCTTAATGACTGCCATAGCTCTGTTTAACTTGATTGAGATCTGTACATTAAAAACAGCAGGTTTTCTACATGCTTTAAAAATATTGATGAGGACCTTGTTTTTACATACTGTACATTGTTATGCAGCATCTACCAGTGAAGCCCTCTAGTTCCGACTCTGGTATGATGCAGCAGGCAACACTTTTGTATCATCTCTCCAAGATTTTTACCATTGAGGAAAATGTTACTGAACATCCCACCTATCATTGCGTGACACAACAGGCAAGTCAAGGAAGCCCACTATTATTTTTGTACTAGGTAGATGGGCCTACAGGCAGAATGTTTATTAATGTCGCTTTTTCTAGCTCGGTTATCTTATGTTTCTATAAGTAGTTTTACCCTTCCAATGGAACAAAGTATTCTACCTTTCACACTAGGTAGTATCTAAAACTTCCCAAGAAGCTAGGAGTGCTACTGTTTCATTGTTCTGAGTAAGGTATGACCCAGCAGATAAAAATTGCATACAAAACTGCTGCCTTACCTTATACATACAAATGTTCCACCAACTCAACTGACCCCACTCCCAAGATACAAAGTTTTCCTTCTATTTAAAAATGAATTGAAATCACTAAAAAAATTTATATACTCACTTGATTATATGTAACAAGAAGAAAGTATACCCACTGAAACGGATTTGCCATGCTAGGTGTAATAAAACTTTACCAGTTAGCCAACTGGCCAAATACCCATGCTTCACAGTGCTGGTCTAGAGGCCTAGTCCAGATTTTGGGCCAAGGCTTTTGCTTGCTTTGCCACAGGGCTCTATCTACCTTCATGGTAGACGCAGAAAAGAACATAAAGAAAATGTTCAACTTTTAAATTTACAGCTGAACACCGCATGCAATGTTCACAAAGCTACTTCAAACAGATGCCTTTCAGGTCCAATCTATACTCACTCATGTGAAAACAGCAGCTTTAATAAGTATTGTTCTGACACCCTTGTAGTTGAAATACTTTTATACATTAGAATTACCCAAGCTTATGGCACAGGGGAAAAGCAGAAGGAACATGTACATTTCCCTTTTAAAAATAAAAGTCGTCTTCTTAAAATTATAGAATCAGAACCATAGAACCAGAAGGGACCTGTAAGATCATCAAGTCCGGTTCTGTGCCGTGGGCAAGAAGTTATTGGGCTCAGACAAGCTCAACAAGGCACCTGTCCAGCCTCATCTTGAGCACCTCTTTTAGAAGTGTTCCAGATTCTGGTGAACTTTACAGAGAAAAAGTTTTTCTTAGGTCTAGTCTGAATTTACCCTCTATTAATTTATGCCTATTGGTGCCTTCCTGAAGAGTTGCTCCCTTAGTACTTGATGTTCACCCATGACATACTTGCAGGCGGCTATCAAGTCACCTCAGCCTTCTCTTACTCAGACTGAACAAACCCAGTTCCCATAGTCTCTCCTCATAGGGCCTATCCTCCATGCCCTTAATCATATGGATGACCCTTCTTTGTACCCTCTTAAGCTTATCCACATCCTTCTTGAAGTGTGGTGCCCAGAAGTGGACACAGTACTCCAGCTGTGAGGTCTCACCAACGCTGAAGAGAGAGGGAGGAGTACCTCTTCTTTTAGCATGTGAACCCAACTAATGCAGTTGAGAAGAAAAAAAAAATTGCTTTATATATTTTATCCCTTTTTCCCAGCAATAGGAACGATACACAATTTATATTTTTAATTTTAAGTTCATCAAATTGCTACGCTTTGGATTTAATATTAGGACCTCATGACTATTAAACATTCCTTTGTTAAGAAGTTCCACAAAAATATTGCAAAATATTCAAGGATAACTGTCAAATGAGGTATTTTATAAATCTGTAACAGACTGTATTAAGTTATGGTGAGAAAATGCATCAACTTTTGGATAAGATTATAAAATTAAATGCTAAATGCCATCCTCACTGAGCACTGTTTCATAAATTAAAATAAGGTTCCTGTTTTTAACTGAACCAGGATACCACATTCTGAATGCATCTTTAGAAGCTCAAATTTCAGCTGGCAAACAGTAATAGATTCTAATCTGCTAAATGAAAATAAGTACATATTCCTGTGATTGCATAGGCTAGTGAGGACAAAAGAGTTAGTTTACAGTACCTGCATGGAGCCAGATTTGAGCCAGAGTCATCCAAGGATGCAGAGGACCTTGTTTAGGAGCACTACTCTGCAAAGATGAAGCAACCTCAGAAAGTGCCTGTTCCACTCTGGAGGCTGCTATTGATGTTGCATGGACTGAACCTGGAGAAGTAATTAAAACACAAACAAACAAAGTCACATCAGTTGGGAAGGGAAAGGGGGGAGTGGGGGAAAATGTTCACACATGCTGTGTTAAATACTTTGTCTTAACCCTTTCCATAACAGAGGCTTTAAGAAGCAGCTAACCTGGATTTAAACTTGTTTTTTTAAGTCAGTCTCTTTCTGATCTATATTTATACACACACACACACACACACACACACACACACACACACACTAGTGTGAATGAATCTACACTAAAAATCATGTTACAGTCTTGGCAGCTGTGTGACATATTTGGGTAACTACTACGAACGCTAAAAATTTAATTTAACATTCCAGTTATGACAGTGTAAATGATCCAGAAACTGATCATGATGGCATTATATGCTGCAACCTTCAGTTTCCTGCATGCACTTTAATGTTAGTAATTGCTGTGTCTTTTCATGGAGTGCAATTAGATTACTATTTTCAGGCTAATAACAGAAGTACAAGATAGATAGAATTAAAACATACAAAGGTGTCCTTGCATAGATATACAAATAAACTCTGCTGGATGCAAACTTTAGCTAATCAACAATGTTGAATTAAAATGTTTGACAGCCAAATAATTCCTTTCAGGAAGACTATCCTAAATACTTGCCTGTTCTGTGCTGTGCATCTCAAAAACAAACATTTACAATGGGTATTAAACTCCCATCTGCAAATATTATCCCCCTTACGCTACAAAAAAGCGGGTTTTCTACAGGTACAGTATGCAGGATGACATAATTATAAATTAAAACAATGCACTAGATATTAAATGGATATAATTTTTAGCCTTGATTGTTTTTTTGATGTGGGCCATAAGCATTTTAAATCCCAACTCCCAATATACTTTTAAAATATCTGTAAACCAACCATAATTTTCTCTGATAATTTCAAACCCACATGGGTTTGAATAAACAGCATTTTATACTAGTTATGCACAACAGGAAAATAGATGTTACTATGCAGGGTCAACAGGAGATCTGCTTTGACCAGTCTGCCGACAGTGGCCAGGTCTACATGTCTTGAAAGAAAAGTTGTAGGAACTTCGCAGTGGGCTGATACAGGATGATTTGTCCCCTCCCACAATAGGTAACACTTTGATTTCTACTACTTAGATACTGATTTAAAGCATAAAGCTTAATGGAATTCATAAAACTTAAATTTCCTCTGAACACTGATAAATCTGATTTTTTTTTCCTAAGCATTTTTAATCAATATGGAACTCCCATATAAAATGTACATCCAGGTGTGACAAAACAAAGTAGCAGCCTGGAAATAGGCGAGGGATCTAAACCTATCAGGCAGCTGGGCTGAATACACAAGAAAGCAGCAGCTAGATCTGTGGGCGTGTCCTTTTTGCCAGCTGGAAGACAGAAAAGCCTCTGGGAACTATGGCCAGCATTGTTCAGCTGAGTTTTACTTTGTATTTTATTTGTCCTTTTGAACAACTGTGCCCTGAGAGGTTGTGCTTTGTGTTCCCTTCCTGACTGGTGAAACAGCTTTCTAGGGTTGAACATTTACAAAAGCTTTTATTCATCACGTCCATCTGGCTCATATTCTCAATGACTATAAAAGAGAAGGGTATGGAAGGCCAGTTACAAGAAGTCTTCAAGGAAAAAAAATAAAAGTGGAATATTCCAAGAAAAATATCATGCCACAGACATTAATCATACCAGCTCTAGTTATGCATCTTTTCTTCTTTTCTCAACTTGAAAGCCAGCTGGAAGACAGAGCTCCTATATATATAGGAGCTCAAATGCAACCTGTTTACCATTAAATGGCAGTTGACACCTTGCTCTCAGAAGGACTAGCAAGGACAAGTTGTAACCAGTCAACAAAGAAGTTGACTTTATGGAAGGGGACATTGTAGAACATTCTCCAAACGTTCCCCTCTAATAAGCCAAACATTAATTGGGGCAGAGGCCAGGTGTGGATCACAAGGGGAATCATTTAATGTACTTCAAGTCAATTTTAAATTTTTTTATGGAAATGTTTTGGTGCCTGATAAATAGCCCACAATTTTACTCCACTTAGGAAATGTACTATTGAGACCAAGTCTGAAGTAACGTAAAATCCCGAAGGTATTGTCTCTATAATTCTATAAATAAGTAATCCATGCAACACAGCAGTAGCCTAGTATAGAAATTTGTTTGAACAGCAGACAATACTAGGTAATAATTACCAAGTAAAAACAGGGTAGTTTATCAGAATCCTGTTACACAGGTCTCTGAAGATGAACTCTACCCCAGAAGTTCTACTTTAAATTCTTAGCTGCACCTTTAATTTTATTTTTAATAATTTTTATCTTAAAAGAGGGCAAATCACACAATTTAAAAACAACTATGAACAAAAATATTATAGTTTATAATGAAAACTTTCCTTAAGAGTATTTTAGTATTTCTATCCTTTAAATAAAATATGCAAATATTATACAAAACAGCAGTTTGTGAGTATCCAATTAAACCAATAATAAAAAAAAAAGTTTGCCTCCTCTTATTTTACTGCACTAATACATCTCTCAAACAATAAATATTCTAAATTAATTGGGGTTTTAACAATTGAGATTAAACAGTAGCCTCTTAATGTTACTTAACCAGCTCAGATAATTTCAGTTTAGAACTACAGTCACAATTTCTAGCATTCACATTAATCAGCAATGAAATGCATGCAACCCCAAATTCCCTTACCATCCTGTGCTAATCGTGACCTGTGACCAAATTCTTCCAAAATCATCTGCACTAACATTGATTTTTTGAATTTGAAAGTTTAAGGCATAGTAGGATGAAAAGACACTCAATGGAATTTGACCACCTTATTCCAGTAAACTCCTCTTGAGTTTTTTCAGTCCTCTCTGCTTCAATCCGTTCAAAGACTTTAAAGCTCTCAAACAATGTGGGAGTGCTGACATTTTCTCTTTCCTGTTCAAATATCAAGTACATAGCCCACATGTCACCCTTACCCGATCTTCCCCCAAACTCTGATCCAGAATACCTTGTGCTTCTCTGGTTTCACCACAACTAGTTTGTATTTGGTCCATTTCTTGCAGTTCTGGTTACATGGCATGCTGTCAGTTTCTTTGATCAGTTTCTAGATAACCAATTATTACTTGGAACAATTAATTAACTTGGAACCTTTTGAGTTCTCCAGGCACCCCTCACGACAGGAGGCATGACTGTGGGATCCAGCATCGGATCCAATTATACCTTATTGCCAGTGCAGGGGAAACCTGGGATTGCTACCCTGAGCTCCTTCTGCACCAGGAAGTAGCAAACTGCTGCAGCTGCAAGTCCCACACCTGAGGGGCTCACAGCCATGGCACTGCTCCATGTGTTGCCATAGCAAGGAGCTGTGCAGCTGATGGGACTCATTGCTCCAGCAAGCCCCTACCCATTGCTGTGGCTGGGAGCCCTGCAGCTGATGGAGCTCTCAGGCACAGAGGTATCCTTGCTACTCATTCAAATTAAAGCTAGATAGAAACCAACTATAAAGTTCTTACACATTTTCAAGTTCTAACTTTATACCTGGATGAACATTTTTATGGTGTGATAGTTACTCTGCACATATAGCCATTCTAACTGCACAATTAATCAGTTAATGTATAATACATGGGTAGAGGGAGCCAAATGTGAAAGCAGGGATTTTTGTGGGTCATATTTATTAGACCGTCTGTATCAGTACCAGAAGCTTGTCTATATCCCTCCCAACTATACAGTCTGTCTAATAAATAGCAAACAATCACCCACACAAATTCCTGCTTCTCAAAGAAAAGAAAAAACAAGTTATCTGCTCTAAATTTCACACAGAGAGTTTTGATGACCAGCCTTCTGGCTTCCTGTTTCACTTCAACACAAACTCTGTTCTTCCTAGTCTCACATAGGTCTCACTTCATGGTTTGCATTCACCAGCCCTTGAACAATCACATTCCTTTCTCAGTTGCCTAGCTTTCTCCAGCAATGTTGTCACTGCATTTCAAAACCATTTTAAACTACTTTATAGCCATTACAGAAGAAAGGGAAGTTCAGTTCTCATACAAATATGTAGTCTGTATTTTTTAATCCTATCCAGGCCATAATAATTCATTATGGAAGCAACGTTGTGGTCAGTTGAATGAGCCTTGAAACACTATGAACATATGCATTCCTCCCATTATTGAACAACTGCCACACTCAGACCTATAAACATACATGTTATATAGAATTGGGGAAGGATTCAAGTCTTTCTTGGTGAAACAAGATTTTCTGGACAACTAAGCTATGAAAGAGTAATGAGGTCTTGGAAAAAGTACTAGTAGTAATTCATGAGCGAACCAGAACTCTGCTATCTATGCCTTTAGATTGTTTGACTTGACTAAGGCTATCATTTGATAGTCAAACCATTTTACTATAACTATTTTTGGAACATCGAGAATCCATATAATTTATACAAGTTTTGCCTGAAAAACGCCCTCCACACTGTTAAATGCCGTTTGAGATCATTAATAATGCATTTATTTTGTATTACACTGCTCTATTTTGTTTAGAAATATCTTGTTACCTTTCATTCTGTGTTTCCAATTGTAACTTGTCCATGATTTATGGAGAAAGAGAAACCTTTTATCTGCGCAAAACCAGCTTATACTTGTTTGACACAACACAATAACCTTTTAGTTCAATGGGAGGCCTTAAGTGCCACAAATTTAACAAATGAGCAAGGAAGCCTGACACCATGACAAGGTGATAACTAAACAGTTATTTGGGTAAATCTAGCATCTTATTAGACCAACTCAAATAGTTGGAAAAATTCTTCTTAGCAAGATTTCAGATTTAAATGCCCTTTGTCAGGCTGAGGAAGCATCTGCAGTTGGTATGTACTCTTCCTGGATGGAATAAATACTAAAGAAGCCAAAGGCTTCTATGGTACGCATACAAGAAAGCCAGTCAGGGAAGATGTAAATTGAGGAGTCAGTGGGTGAGAGGCAGGTTGTGGGGGAGGGA